TATATATATATATATAAATACATCAATTCATTTTTATCATTCTATATTTTTCATTATAATTACAGAACTTTATGTAAAAAGCATTTTTTTCATTAAAATAAATTCTAATTATATATTAGAAAAACATATGAGTAATTTAATATTTTTAGATATTTTTGTTGTGTTGCCGCATTTTAATATATTTGTAATTTTAATAATAATAATTATTATTCATAATTAAATATTAGTTATAATACATTTTATATAATACATAAAAATTTATATTTATCATATTTCATTTAATTATATAAAATGCCATAATTAATTTTTAAGACATACAATAGTATCTTTAGTATAGTATCTTATTTTAATAATAATTCTATATTATTAAAAGCTATCTTTTTATTTAAATTGATTATTTATTCATATTCACATGCCTCATGTGCCATATATGTATGCTAGTGTATTCCTAAAAGTACAAATAAAATAAGTATTTTAATACAATACAAATTTTAACTTTCCTTTTTTTCCCTACTGTGATCAAAAATACTGTTTTGTCCAATCAAATACTCTCTAGAATAAGAATAACACAACATTGGCATTAAGTGCGACAGACAAATGATTGAGCAAACATCTCTACTACCTGAGCCATGCAGTATAATCTTTGGCTCTTGGGAACGGAGAGCAAGCCTTGTCACCTCCTCATTCATCGTCTTTATTCTTCATTGGCCACGGCACAACTAACACAACAACACAAACAATTCATCTGGAATGTCTGCTACAGAAGAAAAGAGTTAAACAATCATTTATAGCAGAATTACTCTCTCATAAAAAAGTAAACAGAGAATAAAGCGTTCATAGCTTTAGGACAAGGGGGATCATAACAATGTGACAGGCTTCAAGAACTAGGCTAGTTGCCAATGTAAACATGCAATAGGTTTGAATTGCATACAGACAGACAGGCGTGCATGCATGCATGCATGCAAACAGAGAGACAGATAAATATGAAAGCAGATAGACAGACTTATGAATATGCCACTAATAAATATGAACAAATTATTGACGGACGTGCATGTCCCTTTAATTTGCAAATGACTGCGACAAGAAGAGCGACTGGAAATTAAACATGAGTACCAATAAGCGATAGTGAATTTTATACAATTATGCAATGCATCTTTAAACGCGACGCAAAACGCATTAAATGCTTCGTGCACGACAGGAAACACTCGAAGCTTCATGCATTTGAGAAGAATGTGTGCAGCAGCGCGCGCCGAAGCTTCCCACCCCCCGAGTGCTGAAGGTTTCCTCGCATTTCAGCACCTGAAACCGGACATAAACATGGCGCCTTGTGACCATAACTTCCCCCTTCCACTAAAAACAAAACCTGCCTGCGCGCGCCATTTTGAGCCATAATACATCACGCGTTTTATTCCCACGCACGCATGCATGCATGCGAGTACGCGTACTTTGCTTTGAAACAAAGGGGCGTTTGGTTTCGCGCTCCTGCACGGGCATTTATAAACAATAACCCGGTGCTCAAGGCCCGATCGCGCCTGCGTAGGGCCCGGTGGCCAATCCGAGGCCTCGCGTCTCCAGCCGCAACATAATGCAACAAAACGTGCAATATCAGCGCATAAAGCTGGCGTAGCGTGGGATGAAACCCGCGCGGTCCGATTCGTCGCCATCGGCTTGCTTACCATAGATCAACGCGCGGGGCGGCCTCCAGATTTTCCCCGGGCAGGCAGGCCGTCGGATTCCCCCAGACTCGGGCAGGGCTGGATCGGGAGTTAGCGGGCGCTGGGCGGGCCGCGCAGTGCGCAGGGAGGGCGGAGCTCCGCAGACAGACACTGCGCAGAGCCGCAGGAAAACGCGGAAGGCCGAAGAGCAACATTCACCCGGCGAAAGCGAAGCTAACAACGAGCTGCTGCGCAAACGATTGAGCCAAATGCATAAGCATGTTTTTAACTCACTGTTAAACCTCGTTGACTCATGTATTAATATCAAAGATTTATGTTTTCATTGTTTTGGCCCTTAAAAGCGCCCACTGGTTGGGTCATCCCATACACAGCATTTTCATGCCCACATCACCAGTCTTATTATATTAGATCACATATTAAGCACACACATTTGGAAGATGGAAATCATATCAGACATTTTCCCAATCTTTCATCTCAAATCAAAATATTTTTTGTTTTAACCCATTTTTAGTGAGAAAAGGGTATTATTTTAAATAAAAGACTTGCATGAAGATTTTTGTCTCATGTTTAATATATTTTTTTCGATCATGCATGCATATTTTCTCATTAGAATTACAAAAATGAGAGTTGTTGTACAAATGTCTCATTCCGACTGCCTGAGCATCTTTTAAACTCATTGTTTAAACTTCATTGACTGAAGAATTAACATTAAAGATGTTTTCATTGTTTTGGCCCTTAAAAGCACCCACTGGTTGGGTCATCGCATGCACAGCATTTTCATGTCCACATCGCTGAGTCTTAATATATTAGATCAAATATTAAGCGCACAAATTTTAAAGATGGAAATCATATCAGTTTATTTGTCACAATATCAAAACCGAAAGTCTGGCAATTAATTATGAGATATCCCAGGTGTTTTTTCAGGCATTTTTTCCAATCTCTAATCCCAAATCAAAATAGTTTTAACCCATATTTAGTGAGAAAAGGGTAGCCTATTATT